AGGCTAAATCATTTTTATCAAAAATAACAAGTGAAATTTTATTCAGAATTATTAGAGTTTATCTCTTTTATCTTAGTGAGAGTGATTCTCTTAAATTTTTGAGTGATTCAAGAACCCTTGGCTGTATCAAAGGACTTTCACATCCTTTGTAAGTTGTCTTCCTTGGAAAGAGTGATTCTTTCCTTCTACCTTATCACTAAATTCATAAATTTCTTACAAGGTTCTGACCCTAAAGATCTTAAATCACCCCTTGTGATTCATATCAGTTGGTATCAGAGCCCCGGTTTAAGGGTTTGAACATCAAATTGATGGCAGGAGAGGAAAATTACAATCAAGAAGCAGGAATTAGTCCATTTCAAATGAGAGCATTGATACAACATTTGGAAGGATTAATGATGCGACATAACAATGAGCTCCATGAAAGATTGAACCGGTTGGAGAATAGAGATCCCGAAGATGAAGAAGAAAGGAGAAATAAGAGAAGGAATGATCGAATAACAAGACCAAGTAGGCTTGAAGGAGTCAAGCTTAGCATTCCTCCGTTCTAACGAAAAAGTGATTCGGAGGCATACTTGGAGTAGGAGATGAAAATAGAGCATGTTTTCTCATGCAACAATTATGAGGAGACCCAAAAGGTGAGACTTGCAACTACAGAATTTTCTGACTATGCTCTTGTTTGGTGGAACAAGCTACAAAAGGAGAGAGGTAGAAATGAAGAGTCAATGGTTGATACATGAACTGAGATGAAAAGGATCTTGAAGAAGCGGTCTGTGTTGGCTAGTTATTCAAGGGACTTGAAATTTAAACTCCAAAAACTTACTCAAGGCAACAAGGGGGTTAAGGAGTATTTCAAGGAAATGGACATTCTCATGATTCAAGCAAAGATTGAAGAAGATGAAGAGGTAACTATGACCCGATTTATTGGTGGTTTGAATATTGATATACGTGATATTGTTGAGTTGTAGGAGTTTGTTGATATGGAGGAATTACTTCATAAAGCAATTCGAGTGGAGCAACAACTCAAAAGAAAAGAAATGACTGAGAAGAGTTCTATCAACTTTGGATCTTCAAGTTGGAAGGACAAAGGCAATAAAGATGGGGTTGTTACTTTTAGTAGTTCCACACCTATTTCTACAAAGACTCCTTCAAAGTCTGAAGAACAACCCTCTAAAAGAAGTAGAGATGTAAAGTGTTTCAAATGTCAATGTTTAAGACCCAATGCTTATGAGTGCACTAACAAAAGGTTTTTGATTTTTAGAGAGGGAGAATATATAAGTGAATCTGAGGTTGAAGAAGGAGAGGAGAGTGAGGACATAGAGGAGGAGGAGATTCTAAAGGAAGATTTATTAATGAATAGGCGATTACTTGATGAGTAATTGAAGTATGGAAGAAAGTCAAAGAAAAAACATTTTCTACAATAGATGTTTAATCAATGACAAGGTGTGCATGATGATCATAGATGGAGGTAGTTGCACCAATGTGGCTAGTGCTAGATTAATGTCAAAGCTAAATTTACCTACTAAACCTCATCCTAGGTCTTATAAACTTCAATGGCTTAGTAAGGATGGGAGGTGCAGGTGAGGAAGCAAGTTGAAGTGAACATTTCCATTGGAAAATACAATGATAAGGTACTTTGTGATGTTGTTCCTATGGAGGTCAGTCACTTACTTTTGGAGAGAACATGACAATTTGATAAAAGAGTCAATCATGACGGGTTCACCAACAAGATCTCTTTCATGCACCAAGACAAAAAAATTGTTCTCAACCCTTTGAGTCCACGCGAAGTGTGTGAGGATAAAAAGAAAATGAGAGAAAAATTTCTTCAAGAAAAGAGAAAAAAAAAACGTTAATGAAACATTTGAGAAGAAAAAGAGTGATCAAAAGAAGAGTGAAACACTTGAAGTGGGGGAGAGCTATTTAGCCATAAAAAGTGAGTATAATGTTTGTTCTACATTTAATTTGTCAGACTTATCTCTTTTTAATGTAGATGACGAATCCGATTTGAGGATAAATCCTTTTCAAAATGGAGAGAATGATGTGAATATGATCTATGATAAAGGCTAGAGCAAGGAAAGCAAATAAAACTCTTCAACAAGTATTATTGGTTGACCAAATTGTGTTTTGGATTATCAATTAATGGACTTTAGTTTGGTTTTATTGTAAGTTGTAATAAGGGCCCAATTGAAAATTTAGTTATCAGTCTTTGGGAGACTAAGAGGGTGTATAGTTAATTGACTTTTGGATGCCACAATTTCAGTTACAATAAATCATTAAGTAGTTTTTAATTCCTAGGTTAATAGATCATTATTAGCCTTTATTTGTCTCCATTTTTCAATTCCCAAGTTAATGAATCATTATTAGCATTTATTTTTCTTTATTAAATCTTTTTAATTATGATGGCAAAACTTCTACATAGGTTGAATCATTTTTATCAAAAATAACAAGTGGAATTTTATTCGAACTATTAGAGTTTATCTTTTTTATCTTAGTGAGAGTGATTCTCTTAAATTCTTAAGTGATTCAAGAACCCTTGGTCAGTATCAAAGGACTTTCACATCCTTTGTGAGTTTCCTTCCTTGGAAAGAATGATTCTTTCCTTCTACCTTATCACTAAATTCCTAAATTTCTTAAAATGTTCTAACCCTAAAGATCCTAAATCACCTCTTGTGATTCATATCATAAACACCTTCAAATTCCTTTTCCTCTCTTGTTTCCTTGACAATAGTATATTCATGAATGGAAAAAGGACTTAAGAATTGTGATTAATTACATATGCCAACTCTTAGTTTTCACATAATACATAAATAATTAAAATTTTAAGTTAATATTAATTTTCCAATTAAATGTATTTGATAAGTCAGCCCGGTCCCTCTTAAGTTCAGCCTGAATGGATTGGGTCATAAGTGGACTGATCCTAATTTTGGCCCATTACAAAAGTTGTTATCCCGGTTGATCCACAAATTTGGATCCATGTTAATAACTCTAACTGAATTCTACACTTTGATCCTTATTATGCCATATTTTTGGAAAATTGTGCTGGGTTAATGAAATAGAGTTGTTAGGTTTGGGCTTGGTATCACTGTTGAGGGTATTGGGTCAGTTGACGACCAAGAGAATTGGGGCGGAACTTGGTAATGTGAAAATTGCTAAGTTGTGGAGAGAACACCTGGACAAAAAACTAAAAGGATAGGTCTAGATAAGTTCTGAAAGAATGGATTGTAGAAGGATACATAACCTGCACTCTCAAGCATAAGAGGTTGATATGTTGGGAAAGGAATCACTTGAGAAAATATGATTTTATTTTTTATATATTTTTTAATTTCATGTTGCCGTATAATGGACGGGTCAGTGATACAGTGAAGAAAGAATACGGGACTTGCGCTAGGCGGCAATTTTGACTCCAAGGGCATTAGAATACCGGTCAATAATAATAGAGGCTAGGTAGTGCTATTTTAGCTGATTACATACAGTGATGGAAAAAAATTCTCCCCATTCGCACCTAAAGTTTGCATAGGATAATCGAAAACGAATCCGAATATTTTAATTAATGGAGCAGATATTCCTATCGTAATATTTATATTAACGTCTTTTATTAATTAATTAGTTTTGTTTATTTTTAATAAATTTATTAAAATTAAATTATCTATAAAAAATATTAACTATTAAATAATTATTTATAATTTAAATTTATACATGTATAATTTTTATTTAAATTTATACATGTATAATTTTTATTTAAATTTATAAAATTACAATTATTTTAACAACTATTAATACCATTTAAATTTATATTTTATATTACAAATTACATAAATTAATATTATATGAAGATTAATTTTATTTATATTACATGAAATTTTATTTAAAATACAAAAATTTATTAAAATACATATTTTAAAAAAATTATTTAAAATATAAAAAAATTAAAAAATATTAAGGATATCTGTAGATACTTGCAAATATAAAAATTTCATAATTTTTTATAAATAAATACTGATGGAATAATGAGATAGATAATAGATAGATTTTTATATGTGAAGTCGATAATGGGTAGCTATTATCATGTCTGTCCCCATTGTCATCCTCGTACTAGCATATAATAAATGAAGTTTTTTTTTTTTTAAGAATATCAAATTTCAATTTTAGAAATATAATTATATGAAATATTTGAAATGAATTTTTTTATATACCTGTAAATACAATTATCTCTCTTAAAAAATATTGACCACTTCTTTAGACAAAAATACGGAGAATTTAATATAATATTTTACAAAAGAACTTCTCATGTATATTTTTCAATATAAATACACCAAAACTACTGAGTCACGTGAATACAGTAACTTGAAGATAAGGAGAAAAAACAAAAGTGAGTGACGTTTGAGTTTGATTGGTGGCTATAGGACAGTTTCGGTCAGGTTATAAGATATATATGTAGAAAAATAATACATAAAACACCTTAAAATTAAAAATACCCTCAAAATATCTTGAAAGAAGAAAAAAAAATATAAACTTTATAATGATTATGACATAATAGAAGGGAAATAAAGAGGAAAAAAAATGTTTGATTTGGTATTATAAAAAATAAAACTAATATACATGAATAATTAATTACTCATGGATGTATCTTAATATAACAACTAATTTTACAACTCAATATAATAATGACAATAGGTTGTATTTTACCTAATTAGGTCTGCAACCTAAAAAATTTCCTTCTTAATAATGTTAAAAGCCATCGGAAGTGTTATATATGAAGGAAAATTGGATTGCATTCAATTCAAAGTGACTATGTAACTTTCTTAATTATCATTTTTGTTTTTTCATGGAGTGATTGACGGGCTCGAAAAGTCTTGACATGCAGTAGTAATCCAAGTTCTGCCGACTCTTCACCACTTTGCTAATATAAATAGGAAGTGATTGTGGAGCAAAATATTATATCTATCAGTGTTAGTGTTGAAGAGCTTAGTTTATATACAGTTTTGTGAGTGTTATCAATTGGTATGTTCTTCCCAAGAGCCATGTCTGCCATTTTGCTGCTTCTTGGAATATTATCTTCCACTGGAGTGCAACTTATTGGTATATATCACTCTCTCTCTCTTTATTCTCAGTGGTTGATGCCTTGTCTCTTTTAATAATTCTCTTATTTTTCTCTAGTTTAATTTACCAAAATTCCTTTGCCAGCACCATCACTCACTTTGTTCCATTATACTTGTTTCAAACAATCTTGACACGAACAACAAAATGATAAATATGTTTCAAATTCAACTATGATATAAATTTTCTCTTGTAAAATTTAATCTAGCTAGCACCAGATAAAAATATTTTCACCTATGCATGCACGTGATATATATATATATATATATATATATATATATATATATATATATATATGTTAACTGTTTCAATAAAAGTCATATTTCTTTAACTACTGCATCCTTTATGCTTTAGTTACTTAATTTGGTTGTGTGATGATGCAGGGGCACAAGTCGGTGTGTGTTATGGAGGAAACGGAAACAATTTACCGACAAAGCAAGCAGTGGTGGATCTGTACAAATCAAACAGAATTGGTAAAATCCGTTTATACTATCCAGATGAAGGTGCTCTGCAAGCCATGAGAGGTTCAAACATAGAAGTGATCCTTGGTGTCCCTAATGACCAACTTCAATCTGTAACCAACGCTGGAGGTGCTACAAATTGGATCAACAAGTACGTGAAACCCTATGCAGGAGACGTTAAATTCAAGTACATTGCGGTTGGCAACGAAGTTCACCCTGGTGATGCTTTAGCAGGCTCAGTTCTTCCAGCGATTCAAAACATTCAAAACGCAGTTTCTTCCTCCAATTTGCAAGGCCAAATCAAAGTCTCCACCGCAATAGACACCACTCTACTAGGAAACTCTTACCCACCAAAAGATGGCGTTTTCAGCAACAGTGCAAGGCCGTACATAACTCCCATTGTAAACTTCTTAGCCAAAAACGGTGCCCCACTTCTTGCAAACGTGTACCCTTACTTCGCCTACGTTAACAACCAACAAAGCATTAGTCTTGATTATGCCTTGTTTACTAAACGAGGCAACAACGAAGTTGGGTACCAAAACCTGTTTGATGCATTGTTGGATTCTCTGTACGCTGCTCTTGAGAAAGTAGGAGCACCAAATGTTAAGGTTGTGGTGTCTGAGAGTGGGTGGCCATCAGAAGGTGGAGCTGGAGCCACTGTTCAAAACGCAGGAACATATTACAGGAATCTGATTAATCATGCCAAGGGTGGCACCCCAAAGAGGCCTAATGGACCCATAGAGACTTACCTCTTTGCCATGTTTGACGAAAACCAGAAGACTGGTCCAGAAATTGAGCGACACTTTGGTCTCTTCAGGCCTGACAAATCACCAAAATATCAACTCACTTTCAATTGAACAAGCGTGTAATTAATCATCGTAAACTTGGTGTTATTAGAATAATGATTAGAATAAGGGTGTCTTCGTGTATGCCTGTGTGGTTTTAGTTTATAATTTGCACCGAGGATGTACTGATATATATCATATATGCATGTGATGATGCCTAAACCTAATTATTAATAAATGCATCTCTACATCTTCATATCTAAATGTTTTGATTTACGTGTTGCGACTTTCGGTTCTTTGCCATCAACCTCGGAAATACAAGAGAGTGGGACAAACTGATATTGATAGAGTTGGTCAACGATCCCACTGATCATAAAGGTGTATGTTCTTCCAGTAATTCTATTATCCACTCTAACCTTCTTCTCTCCTTCAAACAACTTTACAACCGAAATTAAGAATTTTCACATAAAATGTATATAATTTTTATTAATAGTTATTGTTTTTGGAAAAAAATTAAAATTATTTGTAAGGTTCTTACATATATATTACTAGGTACTAAATTATGTATATGTTTTAATAATACGCAATTATTTTATTTATATATTTATTTTGTGTATTATTTACCATATATATTAAAAATATTTAAATAAGAAAATATTTTTGTTTAATACAATTAATATAAAAATTTAGATAAATATATAGTTATTATTATATTTTATCTTTTAATTTTTTTTTACACCTTATATTGAAACAACTCGATTCCACTTAAAAAAATATTAGTCTTAGATTTTAAATTTTGATTATAAATCAATTTATGATTTTTAACATGATTAGGAAAAAAATGTGTTTATATATTCTTTTATTGAGCTTACATCAACTAAAGTATTCTCCGGATGGGAAACAAACAAGGTTGGGAGTAGGGACAGATTATTTGTGCAGGGGTTCTCTTAGGTGTTTTTTTAGCAAACAGGGTAAAAAGAATGGTAATTTTAAGTAAGGAGGTAAAAATTAAAAAATTTACCGAAATAGATTATATCGTGATTCAAAGTGAGAGTGAACACTAAAATTGTGTTATATAACACGAATTCTGCATAATTTATTTTGCTTAGATTCGTGCATAGTATCAGTTTCTATATATATATATATATATATATATATATATATATATATATATATATAAGATTATTTAATTTTTTAAAATATATTATTTATAAAATAATTAATTTTGATTTGATTATTAATTTAATAAAAAATAAAATATTTTAAAAAATATAAATAAATTTAATTGAGTATATTTTTATATTAAAATATTATATTATTTAAAAAAATATATAAATTTTATTGTCAAAATTGATTTTCAATAAAAGTAAATTTTTTAGATTTATTTTCAATTTTTGTCACTAATCAAATTTGAAATAAAATGAGTGTAGAAATCAACTTTTATCTGTCAGGACTTCCTCCTAAATTTAAAAAAATAGTTGATATAAGTAAATTTAAAATATGTAATTTTAAAATTTATATTGAAGCAATATAATAATATTATTATAAATTTATATTATTGTTTATTTTATTAATAATATTAAATATATTACTATTAATTATAATAATAATTGTAATATAATAAAACGACATATAAAAGTCAAATTATATCTAATACGGACTACTTCCTAAATCTAAAAATACAATTGATATCAGTAAATTTAAAATATGCCATTTTAAAATTTATCTGTTTCAATAAATTTTAAAAAATATAAAATTAGACCATTTCGGTACAAAATTATTTAGTTGTGATATCTATGAAATTGAACTTATGCTGGTATTATAAACTCGATGTCATATTTATATTACATTAAATGACACAAATGTTAATATTAAAATATTTATATATGTTTCATATTAAGATAATATTAAATATATTAATATTAAATAATTTTTTATTGTTTATGAAAGTTACAATTTTTTTCTTGTTTATATTAATATTTATAATTTTAATATGTAATAAGTAAAAAACTATTATATCTTATACCAATAAAATTATGTTAAATAAATTGAGATGTTTTTTTCAATAACGACTTTTTTAAATGTAAAAAAATCCATAAATTCTTTAACAATAAATACATATATAATTATATTTGAAAAATTAAATATTGAATACCATTAAATAAAATATAATAATTGATGATATAACATATCAATATAAATAAAAAAAATGTCTCTCCATACATACATATATATATATATATATATATATATATATATATATATAACATAATTTATAAGTTTTATAAATTTACTTTCATATATAATAACATTTTGAAAATCAAATATTAAATATCATTTTAATAATACAAAAGTTTATAATATTATATGTCAACATAAATGAATATTTCTTCTAATAAAAACTTTTTTATGTCAACCATTAATGAAAGATTTTATTTTCAACACAAATTTGATAGTCACAGCATCATAATTTATTTATGTGTCCCATTATAATTTATTTATGTGTCCCATTATGTAAGAGTAATGACATTCTTGTTACCTCACCTTATTAACAAGAATAATAATCACTATTAACAAAGATAACAACTATGTAATAAGAAAATAACAACTCACATACTAACAGCTCGTGAATCATGTGCAAAATTTAAACTGTAACAAACACCACAAAAAATGTATATATAAAAAATATTACCTACGGATAAAAATCCGTAGGTAAATGTACATTATATACATATATTACCAACAGAATTTTATCAATATGTAAATTATCCATTACCTACGAAATTACTGTCCGTAACTAATGTCATTCGTGAGTAATTATTTATTACCTACAAAATCACTGTTCGTAGGTAATGTCATTCGTGAATATTATCCATTACCTACAGAATTACTATCCGTAAGTAATGTTATTTTTCATTATCTACGAAATTACTATCCGTAGATAATACTATCCGTGAGTAATTATTCATTATCTACAAAAGTATTGTCCGTAGATAAATTACATACGGATTATAATCCATAAGTAAATTATATCAAATTAAGAGAATCATATCAAATAGATAAATATATAAATATGTAAATATATAAATATGTAGATATGTAAATATATAACTATATAAATATATAAATATATAAACATATAAACATACTACATAAGATACGTGTTCACCTTGCATTCTCATCTTTGTAATTGTGAGAGTCCGAGCAAAATAATCATTAATTGATTCAACATTCTTCATCTACGGAATAATAACGACTCTAGTTGGGCTCGTTTCAACGTCGCAATGTCTTGGTATTTTTGTTTCAATGAATCTCAAATCTTCTTCGATGTTGCCTTATCAATAGCTTGAAACAAGTAGTTTTTCACCTTCAAATCCTTTAATTTCAATTTTTTTAGAGCTTTTTCCTCATTATCCGATAAAACAATCCCATTTAACCTTAAGAAATTCTCCATTAGCAGTACTCGTTGACTTTAAGAAGTTTTCCATTAGCAATGTTCAATGTCTAATTATCGTAATGCTCATTCAACTTTGAAATTGTAGGTTGCACAAAAATATCTGCTAACTATGATAGAAGTTTACATCTTCTTTGAAATTGAAACTGGTTCTAATAACAACTGTTATCTCAGAAAATTTGTTCTATTTTATCGTCGAAAAAGAAGGAATACAACTGATGAACTAGAAAATAGGAAAGATAAATCTCACTTACTAACTATATTTTCCCATATATTAATAAATAACACCTACTTATTAACAATCGTTGGTCAATGACGTACAAAATTTAAATTACAACAAATAAATAAAACTTTATTATCTGTGAACAATTATTGTATGCGAATAAAAAATAAAGATTTTAACAAAGATATTTATATATTCATTTATTTTAATAAAAATAAAATATTTATGATATAGTGTTTTATATAAAAATATAATAAAATAACTTATGAAATAATAAGATAATTTTTTTAATAATTTAATACCTCATTTTTTAAAATATAAAATTTGAATAAGTATACCAAAAAACAAATTAAGAAATTTACTTATAAAGACTGTTCGACAATCATATAAATAATAATAATATAAGAAATAATCACGTGTATAAGAATGAGATATTAACAATGTCTATGTAAAGAATGAGATGTCCCGTATCTCATCTCATCTCCTACCAAATGATTTTATACTACAACTAACATTATTTTTAAGGTTAGATTGTACTAATTAATTGGTGTATGATGATTTTTCATAATCAAAATTATTTTGATTTACAAAGTAACACTGAATATTTACTAAAGTAATAACTCATTATACTTTAACACTTTTTTTTTTTTTTTTATCTCTTTTCTATTATTATAGTTTTCTCTCACCTGCATTTCATTTTTTTTTCTTTCATTTATCTATCTTAAAATATTTTCCCACAAGCAACCAAAAATAAAAAAAAAAACTAACAAAGTTTTGAAAAATTTATAGTTCAATAATAATAATAATATAATATAGTATAGATCTAAATTAAATATGAATTTTAAATAAATAAATTTTTGAATATATTTTAAATTAAGAGAGGTGTTTTTAAAATTATAAATATGTGAAGGTGGATTGAAATAGTTTATTGATTAATGTAAAAAATAATTTATCACGTGAACATCAATGCAGTAATTTATTAAATATAGAATTTAATTATTTATTAAAAATATTAAATTCTACAGTACTTCTTATAAAAAGATATATAATATAATTATCTAAATTATAATTTTTCAAAATACTTATCTTAGTTTAAAACAAGTTAAAATATATTAAAATATTTATTTTATTTTAAATATGTATTTTTTAGATATAAATTAAATTATATTATTATTAAAAATAAACTCATTAATATATTTTAAATTGTTTTGAAGTATAATTTTTTATTTTTAGTTACTTGTGAGGAATTAATAATAGAGAGAAATTGAAAAGTAAAAAAATAAGTAAACGTGAGAAAAAAGAAAATTTAATGAATTGTAATTTTATATTTTAAAGATATCAGCATAAATATACCGATATTAAGTGCACCAAGAATAATAATAATAATAATAATAA